TCTCTCTCTCTTTTCCAAGTCCAGCCTCATTCAGAATATCCAAAATGATTTTGCAACTCTTCTTTAGTTTCAATTCTGCAGTACCAATTTTTTGGAAATCTGCTGCCATTTGTGTAGTTGTGAATCTGCAGCTGTTACAGTCTAGACTGCCCTTTCATTCTACTTATTTAGAATATTCTTCATTAGATAATTTGAAATATTCATGACTTGGTGTATATTGTACGGTAGTGTAGTGAATATTTTATTTAAGTAGTTCATTCAGTTACATATTTGTTATAATGAACTGTACGAACCTTACATGAGAAAGAAAGCCAAGCTTTCTGTTCAGGAAACTCCTTGAGCAGATCCATCAGAGCTTCTCCTTCTGACTGAGCAGGAATGGTCTCAAAAGCAAGGATATCAACACCAGCCTCCACCAGTGCTTGTATTCTTGGTCGATGCCAATCAGCAATTTCCTTGCGACTCACATGTGCCACATAGCTGCCTGTGTACTCTGAGCAGTCATGTAGAGCAGTCCCATATGGTCCTACTGCACCTGCTATTAGTATCTTGCGTGCATCTAGGGAAGAGGATCAACAGAAGAACTTTTTCATAACTGTTTGTGCTTGTTGTCTCATAATAAAGTAGATATCAAATGTTTAAAATGATATACTTTATAATTATCTTTATTTTCTGCATCCTGTTATGTATCATGTATCAAAGGCATACCTAGGGGCCTTCAACACAATTGATTATAAACTGATATCAAAATGTCTTTATATTTATAGTCCTTTTCATCTAATCGCTGTATTTCGAAAAACTGAGTTTACCAGTAAGATATGTACTCATCCATGAGTGTATTATTCCTCTAAGTTCATGCAACTCCACTTTAGCAAATCTATAAATGTTTGCATTGTTGTATTAATGGATTTCTTCTGTCTGAAGCCATTCTGTGCCTCAGATATCATGTTGTGTTTGCTTACTCTTTATGTATTAATATTTCTAGATTTTTTAAAAAAGCTGGCAAAATTGAAATTGATCTATAATTGAGAATTTGTTACCTCTTTTTTATGAATAGGCCGAACTTTTGCAATCTTCATAAAATTTGGGAAGGTTCCAGAACATAATGAAATGTTAAATATAAATGTTAGTGGCTTTTTAATGAAGTGAAGTAATCACCATGAGAGCTGAGCTACAGGGAAGGAAGGTGAGCCTGATCATAGACATTACAAGCACAGCCCTTGGAAAAAAGAAATGGCATGTAGACCTGTTGCAAGGCAGTGACCATGAAACAAGCGACTATACAACAGCCATCACTAAGTAATGGCTCCACAAACATGCTTGTTTCCCTGGCAACAAGAGAATGCAGCTATAAAGGAAGATACATTTCCTATGTGGTCCATGCTGAGATGATACAAGCAGGACCAGTTAGCAGTTGCAGATAGAGTTAGCTCCCAGCCAAAATGTGGGTTCGAATACCTCCACCACAGCCCTAAAAGTCATAGGAGGCAACTGAAATGGAACCCAGTGCTTGGGGGTATAACTGGGTCACCCTCTCTTGGGACTACAAACTACAAATTACGTAATTATCCTGTTTTATTTGTCTTGATGGGTATTACATCTTGTATGATAGTTTGAAGAACATGTTTGAACAAGTGTCTGTTAACCATTTTATTATTACTGTGAAGTTTTGCATATGTGATCATGAATTATATTTTGGTGAAATATGCACGGTATGTGTATGACTATGCATTGTAGCATGTTGGCTTGCGTGCTTTTGATTTCTGTTATTGACTAAGTTGCACCTGAAGTTGTCAACTATTTTTATGCTTATTTTATATTATATGACTAATCTACTGTTTTTGATTGTTTTAATAAGTGAATTTTGTATGATAAGTGTCTCTTTTATATGCATTTTAATTTGACGCACTTGATTAATGGAATGAGTAATGAATGAACGTCTTAATGGAAATTTTATTTTATTTTAGTCCATGATAAATCTTGATAAATTTCTTGATCATTGTTTAATGTGTATTATAAGTATTATAAGTTTACCTCATTTAATTGCAATATTACTGTATTATTGTATAGATACTATGTATTCTAACTTGACTTGTTCCATATCCTATGGTGTCTCNCAGGGCGATGAATCCTGTGGGACTTGGACCCGAGAATTAGCGCACTGGTGAAACCCAACAGCAATTGTAAATGACAGACCTGTCCTCTCTTCAGAGAGAGCAACCCACAAATGAAAGTAATAAAAATGTGGTCTTGGGCCTCAGATGGATGCTCAACACCAATACAGACTGGCTGACTGACCATCAGTTGTAACATAAATTTGACTTTAACTTTTTGTAGTTAGTTTGAGAACTGCTGTGGTGTTCAGTCACTGTTGTTATTAGAAGCTGGTAACAGAGGCCAGGGACGGTTTGGGAACCCAGACAAAGGGGAACATCCACCATTAGAAGCTGCTACTAAGTGACAACTAGTGAAGACATGACTGTGGACACTAGTGTGTGTGTAACAGTGATTTTTAAAGTGTAGTCACGTACGGTATCAGAGTAAGCAATAAATCGAGTCATCAGTAGAGAACCTGTCTATAGTCACTCTATCACATGACAATATTATAATGCATAAAGTGATCAGTGTCCACTGCTGTTTTGTCCACTAGATAACTACATGCGGCTTACTCCACATAGAGATATGTTATTTGAAAGATATATCATAATAACAGTAAATAATAAAAAGATGTGTCATGTATCCTTTCGCTGTTAATACCTGAATTAATGACAAGTATTTGTTTCTTACAGTGCACTTACTTATATGTATTGGTTAGAAGACAGTGTATGTTAATGTTTATGAACTTTTGTAGTGATATAAGACAAAAATAAACAAAAGTGAAGAACACGTACATTAGCTAAAATAGTATATATGAATGTATGGGCGCACACAGATTTGCATACCTGTAATACCATTCATAGCTATAAGTACTTTTAATTAACAAACCTGCAGTGGATCCCACCTCTGTAGCATAGAGTGAGCAAGCTAATTTTGCCAAACTTACTGCTGTTTTAATCAACTCATAGCTTGCTTCCTTGCTCAGTCCAAGATATTTTATAAATCCTCCAATACTGGCTTGATATGTATTTGTCATCAACACATCAGCACCCGCTATAAAATGGACAGTTATCATAATACTGTTATTTGAAGGGTCACAACATGCAGATGATGGCATCTCTCTCAAGATTTTTCATATTATGTAACAAATACATATGCCAACCAGTTTTATATGAATTTCTGGTTTTGCTTAATAACAACAGACTATATACACTACATTTTGGTTATACACCATATTTTGTTGTAAAAGATGTGTTCCTGCAGAAGATAAAAGTCACTTTATGCTTTAATGTCATATAAAATAATCCATTCCAATATTAGGCATAATGATTAGTGTTATGGATGATTATGTGGGATTTTTCATTATGAGCTCTAAAATGAACGTGCTAAGACACTGCAGTCTTGAGAGAGAAATGTATTATAAGAACTGTACAAAACAAATGGTGTCCATTAATTAGAAAGTGTTTAAGCTTTCAAATTTATGCTACTTTATAGGAGATAAATATGCCAAAGGAGAATATCTGGACCTAAAAGAAGAATGGAAGTTGACAAAATATCATAGAGAGAGGCATAATTTCTACTTTTGACCAATCTGTTTTATTTAGCAGCACTGTACAGTAGGATAATTAGCAGTAAATAATGAATTGGAAAGATGTTGAAGGAAGTGACGTGGGCTACTCTGAGGCGGTGCCCCCGTATTTGCATGAATTAGCTGAGGAAAATTTCGAGAAACCTCTGGCAGAATAGTTGGTGACCTAGTTGAGATTCAATCTCGGTACCTACAGAACACAGTTCAGAAGCGTTAGCACTTCAACCAAATTTCTTGGTCCATTGGCTATTGTGTGTTCAAAATTTGCATAGGAAATATGTGAAATGCATACAAAACTGTAATTGGAAAACCAGAAGTAAAGAAGTCACTTGGAAAACACAAGCGTAAATGTTAAGGAAATATTAAAATGAATCTTAAATAAATATGACATAAAGGTGTGGAGTATATTCATTTGGCTCATGATAGGGACCAGCTGTGAACTCTTGGGTAATGAATAGGTAAATGAGTAGCGAGGTCCATCAAGTGCAACAATTTAGTATAATATAAATCCTTTACATGTTTTGGCCACTACTTGCCTCCATCAAAAGGCAAAGTCAACACTACAAAGAAAACAGTTTACATATATTATAAACAGAGGTTATCAGAAAGGGATTTCTGCCATTAGAAACTGAGCTTAGACTAAAATACTAGCTTACTTCATGAAGTTGAGCCCTTATTGAGAAGCCACCAGCTGTACAGTTACTCAAGAACTTCCCAGCATTTTATGGAACCTGAAGGTTCATTACCGCGTTCACAAGACCCCTCCAATGAGTCCATACCAACTCATCCTATCTCTCTAAGATCCACCCACGTCTTGGTCTTCCTAGTGGTCTCTCTCCCTCTGGCTTTTCCACCAATATCCTATATGCACTCCTCTTATCCCCATTCATGCTACATGCCCTGACCATCTCACCCTCCTTGACTTGATCATTCTAATTATACTTGGCGAAGAGTACAACTTATGAGGCTCCTCATTATGCAGTTTTCTCCAACCTCCTGTCACTTACCTCCCTTTGGTCCAGATACTCTTCTCAACACACTGTTCTCAAACACCCTCAGTCTGTGTTCCTCCCTTCATGTCAGAGACCAAGTTTCACACCCATACAGAACCATAGGCAAAATTATAGATTTGCATATTCTAATTTTTATGTTTTTAGGCTGCAGATGGGAAGACAAATGTTTCTGGACTAAGTGATAGGAAGCATTACCCAAATTCAGTCTCTTCTTGAATCAAGTATTGATTTGTTACTGTTGTTCCTTAATAGTTCCCTTATATTTGAACTGTGCTGCATTTTCGAAACATCTGATAGCTATCTTTACATTATGATTTTACCCTGCATTCTGGTGACAAGAGAGAACATGTACTCACTTTTCTCTGCGTTTACTTCTATGCAAACCTCCTTACTAGAATCAGTTAAATTTCTGTGTTTTTCTTTACCATATTTGTGTTATTACCCATCAAATCCACATCATCACCATAGAAGAGCAGCAGATGTGTCCCATTTGCTTTCACTCCCACCTGGTTTTTTCTGAACCTTCCTAATGGCATATTCTAAAGCAATGTTGATAAAGCATCTCCTCCTTTTAGACCATTCCGAATAGCAAATTATGAGACAAATGTTTACCTATATGGACTTTACTATATGTTTCTTTTAAGCGCATTTTTATTAGTCTAAGTAGTTTCATCGAAACATGATTCAGGAGGAAATTAAGAGACTGAACTCGGGTAATGCTTGCTACCATTCAGTCCAGAACCTTTTGTCTTCTCGTCTGCTGTCCAAAAACATAAAAATTAGAATATACAAAACTATAATTTTGCCTGTGGTGCTGTATGGGTGTGAAACTTGGTCTCCAACATTAAGGGAGGAACATAGACTGAGGGTGTTAGAGAACAAGGCGTTGAGAATATGTGGACCAAAGAGGGATTAATCTGGCTCAGGATAGGGACCAGTGGAGGGCTCTTGTGAACATGGTAATGAACCTTCTGGTTCCATAAAATGCTGGGAAATTCTTGAGTAGCTGCAGAATTGGATTTTGTGGCACTTTATGTTGACATTTTTTAAAATCC